CTTCTCCCTCTGACCCTCCCCCCTCTCATGTGCTCTCTCTATCTCATTCTCTCTCTCAAATAAATAAATAAAATCTTAAAAAAAAAAAAAAAAGAGTGGGATGCTGGAGTCCTGGGAGGAGGGAGAGCAGGAGGTAGGCAGAGACTGAATCTATAGGGTGGGACTATACAGACTCCCTCACATTCAACTCGCTTCCTGGGCCATCTGGACTCAGGAGGTTCTCCTGCCTTCTTCACTTTCAAACAAAAAACTAGCAAAGAGTCCGCCTACCTTTGTAGGTCTCTCTGGTGGAGATGCTGCACGTGCAGTTCTTGCCTGGCAGACTTTTACCCCTGCAGAGCTCCCTGCCTGTGTCCAGGTTCTTCACCACACACTCCCACTCCGAGTGTCTGGGAGGGAAGCTTCCCACCACAGTGACTGTAATCTGTGCGGGGAAGAAGAAGATTCAGGAACCATGTCATTGTTTTGGTACCCTCTCCATCCATCCTCGAGCCTTAAGTGAACTCACCCTTTGACATGCCAGAGAAGGAGAACTTCTCAGACTGCTGATGTAGAGAAAGAGATGTTTTGACTACTTGATTTGCCCTTTTGTGAATCACATATTCATATTCTTGGACCATTTTTCTGCTCTGTATTTTTCTTATCAGTTTTTAAGAGCGCTCTGTATAGATATTAATCCTTATCTGTCATATTTCTGACACATGTTTTCTCCTAATCTGTTTATCTTGCAACTTGTATGTGTGGTATCTTTTACCCCACACAATGTGTTTTTATGTCATCATGTTTTTGCGTTGGTTATAAAGTTATTCCCAAACTTTAGCTTATAGACAAAAACAAAATTGTGATCTTCGTTTTTTAAACTTCTATCTGTAATCTATCTGGAATTTATATTTATGTATAAGGGTCCAACTTTATTTTTATCCAGATGACTAATCAGCTATGTCATAACCATTTACTTAAAAAATACCTTCCTTTTCCCACTGAACTGAAATACCGCTTTTGTCATATATTAAGTTACCATGTATCTGGAATCTAAGTCTAAATTCTGCTCTGTTCCAATTATCTATTGATTTACTTCTATTCCAATGTCAAGCTTTTACTACTGTGATTTTAAATATATTTAACATCTGAAAAGGCAAACTCTATCTTTATTTTCATAATCTTCTTAGCATCTCCTAACATTGCTCTTCCATATAAATTTTAAGATTATCTTACCCAAATGGGGTGAGGAGACCATGAGTTTAATTGCAATTGTATTAAATATATGCATTAGTTTTAGGAGATCTTATATATTTGTGATATTAAGTATTCCCATCCAAACACATGATTTTTTTTTTTTCATTTGTTTCTGTTTGGGCCGGGGTTTATTTAAGAAGATGTACGTTCACTTCCCGGGTGCTAAGATACATTTTTCATTTCTTTATTTCTTACTGGTACTGTTATTAGATTATAGTTTTAAAGAAGGTGACCTATGAAGTCTGCTTAAAATTAAGGTTTTGTTTGTGGGCAAACATACGGTCGGAGTTTTGGAGTGGGAGGCTGTGTGTGTACACAACTGGACACCAAGAGAAAATCTTGAAATCTCCCCTAAAGCAACTTTTTCCCAAATGAATTATCTAAAGAAACAAGGCAGCCAGTTCTCATGTTGAAAGAGGGAAATTATCCCACCACAAAAAAGGAAATGCAATGTGATGGGATAGAGGTGTTAGCTAATGTTCTGGTGGTCATCATATGGCAATATATCAATGTATCAAACCAACCCATTGTGCATCTTAAACTTACACAATGTTCGATGTGATTGTATTTCAGTTAAAAAAAGAAAATGAAGGTTAGAAAAAAAAGGAAACTAAAAGAATTAATATGCCAATGGTCGACCCCTTTGGCGGCAGGTGCACGAAGGGTATCTGGTGGGAAGGTGGGCTAAGCATTAGGAAGATGGGAGCAGAGGAAGTGGTAACCTGCCAACTATGATGAAGAGCTATAGTCCCAGACAACCTGGGAGGTGTCCATCTTCTGTTATACATCTGACTTTAACCCAAACTTTTCAAATGGCCAGCCTCAAACTCTGTTGTCTCTTGTCCTCAAATCAGCTTGCTATGTCTAATCTAGTCCTGGGGTCAGTTCCATCTTTCCATTTTCAAAACATTCTGTTTCTCAGCCATAAATCTTGCCGGAGAAGGCAAGTTCTTATAATCCAGCTTTAACTGGACTGAAGTCCAACCATCTGTAGCAGACTTGAGCATAGCAACGAAGCCCAAACTGCTCCCACTAACTCACCTCCAACAAATGGCTGAGCTCTCATTCACACTGCCTTCTTTGACCCTGCACATACATCTCAGCACATGATCACATATTATCCTGTGTACATACAGGTCTTAAATTTATTTCATTACTCAAACACTACAACAACAGAATCAGAAATTTTTTTTGAAATCCTTTTTTCACCAGTTTTAAATTTTCCATATGTCCTTCCAGTTCTCACATAGCATTTATGTAACTGTAATCATTGCATTTATTTGTTCCCTATTTATCAAGCTCTTAACATGTGCCGAGTGCTGTGCAAGGTGTTAAATGCTTTAGTGAACCAAATAGCTATGGTCCCTGCCCTCAAAGAGCTTATAGTCTAGCAGAAACATGGGGATGTCACCTTTTGGAAACTGGAGGCCATACAGTATGAAGAGATCTTCAAGAGCGGATAGAAGCCTGGACTAGGATGGTACAGTGGAGACAGAAAGAACTGACAGATTCAGGATACCCTTTAGAAGTAGCATGGGGTGAGACCAGAAGTAGGGCATGTTGATATGGAGAATTTTGGTAAGAAAAACGGATGGATGGAAGTACCGTCTACTGAAATGTGACACACAGAGGGAGAGGTAGACTTTGGGTGGAAAAATGCAAGATTTCAATTTTGGTTGTGTTTAGTTCAAGATACTTGTGTAATAATCAAGAGATAGGTCAAGTTAGATATGGGCCCGGAACTCAGAGGAGCAATCTGGGCTAGAGATAAAGGAGACATGAACACAGAGATGAGATATAAAAACAAGGGAGTAGGTAAAATGGTCTATAGACAAACTAGAGAGCTAAAGACAAGAAGAGCCTAAACTGGGTCTAAAACAACTCCAGTATTTAGAGTCAGGGAGAGATGAAGCCAGCAAGGGCGGCTGAGGCATGGCCAGAGAGAAGGAAGTAAGCATGGGCAGGGTGTGCCAAGGGAGGGAGGGCGACGGGAGAGGGGGTTTCAAGAACGCAGACAACAGACCAAGTAAGAGGAGGACTTATAGTGTCTGCTGGAATGGATACGAGGAGTTTGCTAGTGACCTCAACAAGAACAGTTACAGGGGAACCCTGGGGCAGAAGCCAGGTTGGAGTTGATCTGAAAATAGCGAGTTTTTTCAAGTGCAGTGGAAGGAGAGTGTAGCCAGGGAGCCGAAGGTATTTTTGTGTGGGTATGGGTTCCAGGCAAGTATAGATAAAAAGCTGACGCCTTGGCTTAATAAATCCAACCTGGGAATCCTTACCAGGTTCTTCAACTTAGAATATAGTTCCTTCTCCAACTAAGCTGGATAGAGAGGGAGTGAAGACACAAAGAATCAGATGAGATAGAAAGTTTGAGTGTCAATTAGCTAGTCATGTCCACGGCGCCGAGAGTTTGCTGCATAACATTCTAGCAGGTAGCAGACCTTATTTTACTTAACCATTCTGCTTATTGCCAAACGGTTTTTTTATTTCTAGGTTTCTCAGTCTACAAAGCTGCTGAAGTGGCATCTGCATGCTTACAGTTTTGCTTCTTTCAAGTTACTTCTTCAGAATTCAAAGATTAGTGTAATTAGTGTTTCAGATAGAATGAATTTACTTATGACTTTTGAAACAGAACATCAAATCGCTCTCCAAAAAGGCTGTGCTAATTGGCATTGCCAATGCCAGGTGTTAGCATATTCTTTTCACTTTAATTTGTATTTATTAGATAATTAGTGAAGTGAACATATTCCACTAACTATGTCTAACTCTCTAAACCTCCTCTTGTGAGAATGTATGCTTTTGCCCACTCTTTGGTGCCCTGCTATTTCTCTTTTCAATTTCTCCTGGTTTTAATATCTTGCAATGAATATCTTTCCTGTTGCAAATGTTTTCCTGAATTGTGCTATAGTTATCTTTTTTGTTGTATATTTTTAAATGTCAAGTATATGAATATTTTTCCTTTGTTATTACACACTACATTGGTTCAGAGCTAAGAAAATTATATTTCCAATTATCTGGTACCTATTTCTATTTTCTGTTTTTACGTGTTAGCTTTTTATTATTTCTTAATCAGCCTAAATTTTTGTATTTAATGTAAAATGTGAATTAAGTTATGTTTCCATATTGTAAGTCTGTTATCTCAGCACCTTTTATGAAATAATTTTGTTTCCTCTTATTTTATGATATCTGATCTTTACAATTTTTACATTTCTTTCTGAGCTTTCTAGCCTATTTCCACGATCTACGTTCTTACTTTTAAACGGAATCATGGATTGAGTTATTGTCACTATCTACAAGTTTATAATCATATGGAAATGGTCTAGCTTAAGTACATTTCTGTTTTTTCAAAATACATTTTGGATATTCTTGACCAGTTCACATTATTGCAGCTGATTTTAAATTACTTTTAAGAAGAAGTCTATTCAAATCTTCACTGGGATGACATGCAATCTAGAAAATAGGTTGAGGAAGAAATGACATTTTTATGGTATCTTCATGCCCAGAAATGTAGTATGTATCTGGATATATTCAAGATGTTTTTCCTACCTTCCAAGAAAATACTTTGTGTGTTTTTATTTTTATTTTTATTTATGCTTATGTTTCTAATTGGTAAGGTTTCCCTATCGTGAGTTATAAACAGCCTCAACAGACCACTGCCCCACTAATTACTGTTAGAAAGAATTGCTTAAAGCAAGCTATTGCATAGCCCAAATTACTATTTGTGGTAGCTATCTTTAACATGTATCTTCTAGTAAAAGTGATTTTAAAATATAGGATATACACCTCACCCTTTAAGTTTATGCCTGAGTGTTTGGTTGTTTTTAATGAATGGGATCTTTTATTAATTGACCTCAACTCCTTTAGCTCACCTAACGTTATTGATACTTGAATGTTTACTGAACATTTAGCACTTTTACTTCTAATTTGAATAGTTTTAAAAGCTAATATATTTAGATTTGGAAGATACACAACCACTTAAGATGAGCAAATAGTGATATTTTTTAATCTATTCCTTTCCCATAGTTATTTATATTACTTGTCTCTTGTATTACTGCACTAGACACAACTTTAAAAACAATGCCGGTTGTACCAGTGAGGGTGGAATTCCTTGTTTTCATTCTGATTTGTAAAAGAATGTTTCTAGTGTCTCTGCCTTAAGAGTCCTGCTGTTTGTAGGAACTACTTCTATTTCTGCCTTTTCTGTTTTTATCAGTATTAGCCATTTTCACTGATTGTCACAATCTCTTTATAAGTATACAAACAATTTTGCATAATGCAAAAATGGGATGTCACACATCCTTTTTTTGTGTTTGTGTATATGAGAATTTCATTTTTCTTCTTTTTTTTTTTCCTACCTGTCTCAGCCTTCCCTCTCACCACATCATCAGTCGCACCATCAGGAGAGCCCATGTTTACGACCTAGTAAGAATTCTCTCATATTTTTCTTCATGCGCAAATAATCATATAGAGACATAAACATATACAGTAGATCATGCTATATCAATAGCATATATTGAGTTTTCGATCAATACAAGATCATGCTACACATACTTTTCTGCATCTTGCTGTTTTTGCTCAACAAAACCTCACGAAATCCCTCCAAGCCAACTGGAATTGTTCCAATTATTTCTTGTTAATGACGATTCTGTAATGAGGATGAGGATATACAATCTTCTAATTGTTTTGTGTAAAGAGATGATGATTCTTGGAAGCAGAGGCTCTGCATTATATCAGGGTCTTTCTGTACTTAGAAAGTTACTAGAATGTTACTAGGCATATGACGGGCAGGTAGCCAACACTCTTTGACCCAAGCCATAGACTACCATCTCTGTAGATCAGGGTCAGGTACTATTTAAATCAACAAAGATCTGGAACTTTCAGGTAAGTCACAGATGACCATAAGAGTAGGAAATATTTTGAAACAATATGACTAAGAGATGGCATCACATGTTTTATCAACGTTATCAAAATAATCAGTCTAAAGTTGGCTTCAAAGATTACTAAATTCTTATCTCCTTTACTTTGAGAGTGATGGTAGCTGGAGAGCGAGGTAATGGTTGTGTGGGAAGGTTCTACAGGGATTTGGGTAAACCACAGTGGGACTCAGGGTAGAGAAGAAAGCACTAGTGGTTGTTTGGGTGGTAAATATTTTTTGCAACGTTCCAAACTAGATAGAAATGGTGATTAATTTATACAAGTGAACCCAAAGACTGGTAAGCAAATTGTGTAGACAGCATCTTTCATATAATGAACAAGTTACTTTCTCTTACTACATTTAGCTGAAGTATCACCCTTAAAATTTTCAAAATGATTAAAAAAAAATCTTGGGTAATCTTAACCATTTATCAGAGTCCTGGGTATATTCAAACATCATGGTATTTCTTATCATTCTCTATCAGCACCAAAGTTAGCTCTTTTTCAGACTGATAAGAGAAAAATTTGACCACACCTATGCTGAGATACCTAAGCCTCTTCTTCACACATTTTTTTCACTCTGACTCAGGGCTGGTGGAGGTTTGGATGAAGGCTTTGAAAGTTCTTTCTTCACCGCCTCCCCCCTCAACCTGCCGGAACACAATAGAAAGTGACAACAGCCAAGTAACTTTAAATCCTTAAGTTCTGATCAGTTATGACTTGAAAGCTGTATTCTTTTATTATTTATCGCTCATTAAATGCTCTGGCTCTCCTTTATTAAATGTTAAATCATCTTAAGTGGTATGGTTCTTGCTATTTGAAATGGTAAAGTGTACAGGAAAAGAGAAAGTGGCCCATTTCCTTGTTAATGTGGCATTCAAATAAAACAGAGTGAGCTCAACAGACAGGTCAACTGGCTGCTGATGGGGATTCTGTACAAATATTCATAATACAAGAACTATAATTAGGGAGAAAATGTCTCCTTACAGCACCACTGAGATTACAAGGCAGGAATTCCATATTCCCATAGGGTATGGATGGTGTGTGAATCAGAAGATGCTCCAATCATATGCTGCTCATCGTGTCCTCTCTCTCATCCAGTGATAGGGCTGAAGAGCTACCCATGGTGATACGGCCATAACAAGAGCCCCTGGCTTGCCAAGGAACCCCACTTGTGATAGTCACTGCCTGTAGTGGTTTCTTGCCCTCTCTCCCAGTACTGCTTAAAGCCATGTATATAAGAAAGTTATCAGGAGAAGCCTGCACAAATTAGGGAAACGACCCTAAAATAAAATTCTACACTTAAGTCACATTTAAGGAATCTTGTTGACCATGAATCTGAACTTTTTTCTTCCTTTTTTTTACCAACACATTTTCCTACTACATTAATAGTCCATTTTTTTCTTTAAATTCAATGAACGAGGTCTACGAGATGACAAACTCCACGAGGGCAGGCTCGCCGTATGTCTTGTTCTCTGCTATTTCCTTAGCGTCTTGTAGAGTGTATGGCATCTGCCAGCACTCAATATCAGTAACTAAATGAATGGACTCTCCTAACTAAGCTTCTTTAATGCTAGTAGATATTTCACACACGGAAGGAAGTTAGCATCAGTTGTGCAAAATGAGACATTAGAGACAAATTAAAATCTTTCCTCTTACCTGATCTTTACCGCTTCGAAGTAGGTTAATTTGAGGGCAATTTTTGGCTCCCAATGAAATATCCAGCCAGTTTTCATAGTTCTCTGGATGTACACAATCTTCTTTAAAAGTACACCTATCAAAAAATGGAAAAGGCAACAAAACAGCAACCCCACACATGCATTAGTTAAAACTTCTCACACTTGGCTTGAGTACAGAATGCCAGGCTTTGGGCAGAGGGTTATTGATTTTGAGCAAGAACGGGAACGTGATGCTAAAACCATGAAAAGCAACAGGACAACTGCAGGGCGTTTTTTCCATCATGTCTACGAGCAGAAAACAAATGTAGACAACACGCTGAACTTCGGCTCCCGTGGCCTCTCTCAGGATGACGTCGCCAAATACACCCAAAGCACATCCTCTAGTGGATTCTAAAATTAAAGAGCTCCCTTTGAGAAAAACCTGGTGCAAAGGACAGCCCAAGAAAGGGTTTACATACTGTATAAATTTTAGGTTTGTGGTTCATTCCCAGAATATCATCCTACTGTGGAAATCTTTTCATTATTAAGAAAAAAATAAAGCTGTCTTGTGCTTTGTAGTCTGATAATTAAATATAAATATTTCAAGGGCAGAGTCTTCCCAAGAATGTGATAAGCCATTCCATAACCATCTGCTACATAACATTTATTTAGACAGACACCCAATTATATCAAAAGATATGGGTGCAACACTTTCCAGGGCCACCTTCCCAAGTCTGTCAGCACAGAAGATGTCCCAAATAAATCTTAAGCTGTGGCCGGGGCCAATTCCTCTAGTAAACATGACCAGGAGCTAAAGGGGGAGAGCACTCCTCTGCTGGATGTCTCGGCCACTCTAGGTCACGCTAACTTGGGAACTCCTGCCTCACTGGAAGGGCCAGGAAACCGACAAAAAGAATGAACAGCAAGGTATTCTCAAAGGTGTTGAACTCCACAAACATTCCACGGGATGATATCAAGAAGAGACCAAAACATCCCTGTTACCTATGCCTCCTCAAGGCCTGAGGTTAAAATGGAGGGGTAGAGGAGAACGAGTGACAGTAAGTTTGAAAAGAAGTGGAAAATTCATGAATCACAAGATTGAAAAGCAACGAAGTGATAAAGGCATTCGTCTGTGGGGAGTCCCTCAAAGGGTCAGAGTGGGGTGGGATGTGGTCCCTGAAAGAGTATCTGACTTCACAGACATTTTTACTTCCTCTTCTTCCTCTTCTCTCCTTTTTTCAATTGGTAAGAATGTAGGCCCCAAGCCTTCGTTTTTGAGCTCTGTGCTAATTTGAATATGACCAAAATAGAACAGGAAGCTGGTGAGTTTCATTAAACATCATCCTCGGGCACAGTGCTTTGAGCAACTGTTGGGGAACCCTGTTTGCTAGGAGCACATCTGTGTCCGAACTCCCCTACATCTGTGTGGGCTCCTTCTCCAACGTCCTGACCGTTGGGATTTTCATCAGCAGTTTTCCAAAGCCATCAATTCATCCGACCCTTGATGGCTAGCTCGTCCGTCACGGACATTAAGTTCAAATTAAACCGCCTTTCGGTGTCAGGGAGAGTCGGCCACAGAGGGACGAGTGCGGCTGGATTGAAAAACAGGATGACGAAGTTGGTTCCTTACTCTGGATCTGAAAGAGATTACGACTGTCAAAACTACCGGCTTCTCTTGGGCACTCTGGTTCGAATAAGACGCTCCCTCTATTTGAAAAACAAAACAACAACAACAAAGCCAGTTCTAGAGCGAATGGAGTACAAATATTGTCATAGGCTCCTAATGCTGCCTGGAAGTCAAGGCCTAAGGCTGCCAAAAAAACAAGTGTAAAATATTTCACACAAAAACTGCTGCAATTTGCCAATTTGTAGGCAGAACACAGTAGTGCCACCGAGTTTTCACCCCCTTTGCTGAACTCCTCTAGCTTTTCTTGTCGGAACCACACATTTTGGTATTTAATCATATGCTGTGTTGAATTACAACTTAACTGTTTCATATGTTGGTGTCATTTCTCCCCACCCCCCACCCCCCAAGGAAGCTCTAAGCTCCTCGAAGGAAGGGAGAATGTCTTTTTTTTTTTTAAGATTTTATTTATTT